ACGCCCCGCCGCCCCCGGCAGGTGCGGGACACGGCGGCGGCCCTGAACCGCACGGCGGAGCCCAGCCTGCAGAGCCTGGAGCGGCAGCTGGCGGGGCGGCCCGAGCCCCTGCGGGCGGTGCAGCGGCTGCAGGGCCTGCTGGGCGCGCTGCTGGGCCACACGGCCGCCATCCCCTTCTGGAGAAACCCGGCCGTGTCGCTGGAGGCGCTGGCCGAGCAAGTGGACCTCTACGACTGGTACAGGTGCTGGCCCGCTTCCCGGCCGGCCCGCCCGCCGCGGCGGCTGCGTCTGGCTGTGCGCCCGCCCCGGGCCACTGTGCCCTCGCGTCCGGGGCTGGGCCCGGTGGGCGGTGGGGCTTCCAGGGCCCCTCGAGGTCGCAGGCAGCCGCGGGGATCCCCGGGGGATGTTTGTTCAAGCGCCCACGGCCCCTGTGTCCCAAAGCCCCCGCGGATGCCCCGCCCGGGCTCCAGGCTGTCGGCGCCTGCCTGGCCTGCCCTGGCGCCCCTTCCCCCTCTCGCCGCCTTCTCCCTGGCCCATGCCGGCTCACACCCTGGCTTGCCGCAGGTGGCTGGGCTACTTGGGCCTGCTGCTGCTGGACGTCATCATCTGCCTCCTGGTGCTGGTCGGCCTCATCCGCAGCTCCAAGGGCATCCTGGTCGGGTGAGTCTGGGCGGGGAGTCGCCCCTGCGGGCGTGGTGGAGGGCCGGGCTGAGGTCCCCAGGTCCCCATCTGTGAGTCCCAGCCACAGGGTCTATGGTGGGACCCGAGCAAGACCCCGCCAACGGGTCTGCACCAGGCCTGCCCTGAGACGCTCCTTGAGTGCCTGTGGCCTGTGGCCCGTGGCCTGGGCACATGTGCCTCAGCCTAGTCTTGCTTTCCAGCCGTGCTCCTCTTAGAGAGTTTGCTTACAGGGCCCTGGTAGCCAAGAGACCTGAAGCAACCTGCGCTGGCCCTCAAGGGCATGGAGACCCCAGGGAGCAGGCTGGAGTGTCTCTCCTGGGCCAACTCTGTCCTAGGCTCTGGAGGCAACCTGGGCTCCAGCCCGGCGGGCTGGTGACCTTAGGCAGGCGGCTCATCAGTGCTGGGTCTCCATCTCCTCTTCTGGAAGACGGAGAGAACAGCAGCTTGTCCCTAGGGTGGCCCAGACATGTTGCCACTGCCCCACTGCACCATTGCACAGCTGTGTCTGGCACCTCTCCGGGCCAGGACTGGGAGATGGACAAGTGAAGAGTGCCCTGTGCCAGAGACAGCAGTGCCTGGAGAGAAGCCGGGGTGGGAAGGCAGGCAGGTGGGGAGGGTCTCCAGCGGGCACTCTCCAGCCCTGCAGACCCGAGAGAGGCCCTGAGCAGAGGCCCAAGAAGCGAGGGATGCCCGGACACTCGAGGAAGGACGCTCAGTGACCAGCATGTGGGCCTGCAGTGGGACGTGGCACCTCGACCGAGGGGCCTGAGGGGCCTATGAGGTCAGGCCTGGGGCTCGGCTATGCCGGCGCCCTGAGTGAGAGGGCGCCTGGGGGGTTGTGAGCACGTGCCGGTTTTGTCTGGCTGAGCTTAACAGCACGTGGACAGCAGGCTTAGGGGCCCGAACGGAAGTAGGCACTGGTGTCTGCTCAGGCAAGGGGTCTGGGGAGGGGGCTGAAGGGCAGGAGGTGCGCGCCCCAGGAGCTGCCTGGCCTTCCAGCCCTGTCCCCAGACCCAAGCTCTCTGAGCCCGCTCTAGCCCACCCCCGCCAGGAGGGGTTACGTCTAGATCATGGGTTTTGGGTAGCTTTGGCTGAGGCCAGGCCACAGGAGGAACCACAACCCCTGTGCGGGCTGAGCCCCTGATGTGCCGCGGGACCCACCTTGTGGCCCACGGCCTGGCAGGTGGCACCTCCCTTGCCCACCAGCCTGGGGGCTGCTCACTAGCTCTCTTTGCTCCAAGGGTCTGTCTGCTGGGGGTCCTGGCCCTGGTCATCAGCTGGGGCGCACTGGGCTTGGAGCTGGCTGTGTCCGTGGTGAGTGGCGGAGGGGCCGGTGGTCCTCATCTGTGAGGCCCAGGCATGGGGAGCGGGGGGTGGGGAAGCCACACTCCTCCCCCCTTCACCTTCCCCAGGTCCCTGGGGACCCACCAAGGGCACACAGTTTGGCCGTAACCCCAGCTTCACACCCCACCCTCCTGAGCTGAAAGCAGGCTCTTGGGGCCAGGCTCTACCCCTGGAGTGGAGGGTGGGGGACAGTGTCTTGAGGCCCAGCTTGGTCACCCCCTTGCTTTCCCGCACTCACCCCAGGGCTCCAGTGACTTCTGTGTGGACCCCGACACCTATGTGACCAAGATGGTAGAGGAGCACTCGGTGCTGAGTGGGGGTGAGTCTGTGGCCCTTTCGGAAGAGGTTCCCTGCGGTCGGGCTTCGCCTGCCAGTGAGGCGGCTGGGGGCGGGCGGTCTCGGGGAGGCAGGTCCCAGGCCAGGAAGTGAATGGGGAAATGACTGAGTGGGAGTCAGTCCTGAGTGGGAGGCTCCATGGAGAATGAGGATAGGAGCCGGGCAAGGCCAGTGTCAACGGGGGAGGAGGGCCAGTGACTGGGACTGGGGGTGCCGGTGACCTGGGACAGCTTCCGAGTGTGCCGTCAGGGAGGGCTGGCAAGCAGGCGGCATCAAAGTGGAGCCAGAGGAGGCTGCGCCTCATGCAAAGGCCCTGAGGCAGAAACTCTTGATGACCTTCTGAGACAAAAAATAGTCCAGTGGGGACGAGGGAGGCTGGGAGGCCAGAGGGGCCCAGTCACCGTGGTGAAGGTGGGCTTTATTCTCGGGGGGAGGCTGTTGGAGGGTGGGAAGCAGGAGAGAGGCGTGACCCATGGTTGAAATCCCCTTTACAAGCTCCCTTGGGCTGGGCTCGGTGGCTCCCGCCTGCAATGCCAGCATTTTGGGAGGTGGAGGCAAGAGGTTTGCCTGAGCTCAGGGGTGCGAGACCAGCCTGAAAAGCATGGTGCGACCTCGCCTCCTCAGTCAATCAAAAAATCAGGGTGTGGCAGCGCGCGCCTGTAGTTCCAGCTCCTTGGAAGGCTGAGGCGGAAGGATTGCCTGAGCCCAGCGAGTCGAGGCTGGGGTGGCCGTGAGTGTGCCACTGCGCTCCAGCCTGGGCGACAGAGTGAGACTGACTCAAAAGAACAAATAAATAAAAGCTCCTCCGGGCTGCTGGGGTTACAAGAGGGGCAAGGGGATGCCTCAGGCAGGAGCTAGCGGAGACGCCTGGGGCTTGAGCGGTGCTGTGCGGTGCGCAGGATGTGCCCTGGAGGCGGAGCCAGCAGGACTTCCTGGTGAGTGGGATGCGGGCGGAGGGGAACTGAGGGGTCCTGAGGGGTCCGCGTCCCTGGTCAGAGCAGCAACTCCCTGCGGGGCTGCGTGGGGGCAGCAGGTCTGTGGGCAGGCGCAGGTTTGCGACGCATGTTGGACCTCACAGAGGCTGGCAGACGCGGGACTCTGGGATCAGTGTGGTCAGGGCTGGACACTGCGAAGCTTGTTGGGCCCCATGCGAAAGTGTCTCCTGTTCCCTAATAGAAAACAGGGGCTGCCCCCATGCGGGGACGGGGCACAGAATGACCCGGAGATGCTCGTGCCCTGTCAGGAAGCCCCCGCGCCCTCAGTCCGCCGAAGCCACAGGACGAGCTCGTGGGCTGGCTTAGCTCCTTTTGCTGAAGCCTGAGGAGCGCCCAGGAGGGGTCCGTCTGCCCCCTCACTAACCTTGTCCTGGCGGTGAGGGGGCTCGCTCTGCAGAGAGCTGGCAGGGCTGGTGACCACCCTCCCCACCCCGTCCTCGGCCCCAGTGCCATCGGCCCGGCTCTCCAAGTCCCCGCTGCCGGGGCCTTGGCACCTCAGTGAGCGTGAGCAGCCCCACCACACACATACACGTAGACACGCATACACACGTGTGCGAGTGTGTACGCACCAGCCTGTGGACCAAGCAGCCCCTCCCAGAAGGCTGGCAAGGCTGGCTGTGTTAGCTCCCTTTCGCAGGTGGCTGACGTGTGTTAGCTCCCTTCTGCACGTGTTATTTTTTCAACTTTTAAACAGTTCCTTTTTTCTTTAATGTTCTTTTGTAATTGGAAGAACTAAACTTGTGGAGAGAAAATGGAGCCCAGGCAAGGGCCAGCTGTGTGGGGACCCTGGGTTCACTGAGGCTTGACGGGAGTCCAGACCCTCGGGTCGAGTGTGGGTGTGGCACATGCACGAGACACACATGCCCACGTGTGTGTGAACATGCACGCAGAGATGCATGCATGCAGACACATGCACACAGACTCACATGAGCATGAGTGTAAGCACACATGCAGACAGGCACACATGTATGCATGCTGACACATGCAGGCTCTAGTACTGAGTGTAGGTGTAGCACATGCCTGAGACACTTACACATGTGTGTAAACACACACATGTAGATATGCATGAAAAGACACGTGCATGCAGACTCACATACACGTGTGCAAACACATGCAGACATGCATGAAAAGAGAATGAAGACACCCGCGCAAGTATAGATTTACATGTGCACATGTGTGAACATGTAGGCCCATACACAAAGACACATGTGCGCAGACACATGCACACGTACACTCAGGCACACCCCTGCACACAGATGGTGTGGTGGCTTAGCCACCCTGACCTCTCTCCACAGACATCCTGCAATACTACCTGGCCTGCACGCCCTACACCGCCAATCCCTTCCAGCAGGTGAGAGCCCCGCTGGTTCTGGGAGTCGGGGAGCTGGGATGTGCGGGAGAGTCTGAAGCCGCGTTTTCTGTCTGGAGCGGCGGAACAGGCCCGCAGCCTGGCCCGTAGCCCGGCTTTCCACAGTGTGCGGGACCAGGGGAGCCATGGCTGGTGGCCGGACGAGCACTGTATGGATGCCTCCAGCTGCCCCCAGGGTCCCTGGGTTTAAGCCTTTTGGGGTGACCCGCTTAATGTGCCCACATCCCTGGGCCTCCTTCCATTCCTTGGGTTGCCCTTGGGTGTGGGCAGAGCCCCAGGGATGCCTCCATAGCAGAGCCGTGTGTCCAGGCGTCCCGGTGGGGAGCACTTGGAGGGGTTGACAGCACCAGCTGGACACGCTCTTCACGCACTGCCTGCCATTTCACTGTGATGGCGTGGCCCTTTGGTCCTGAGTCTGCGTGTCTGCCTTAAAGATGCCTGGCTTTGCTTTCTGGGGCAGCTGCATGGCATCTGCATGTACCCACAGTCCGGGGGAGCCGGGGTGGGTGCCTCGTGGGCCCGCGAGGCTAGTGCGGAGGGTCTGGGGGAGGAAGAAGCGGGTCAGCCTGCTGGACTTGGCCACCTCTCTGGAGCAGAAGCTGTCGGGCAGCCACAAGGCACTGGTGGAGATGCAGGACGTCGTGGCCGAGCTCCTGAGGAGTGTCTCCCGGGAGAGCCCGGCCACCAAGGTAAGAGGCCTGGCATGGACGCTGGGTGGGAGCCAGAAGGAGTGTGTGGCGCCAGCACGACCCAGGCCTGTTTGGAAGGGGCTCCGGGGTGGCCTGACGGGGCCCTGGTGTTAGATGGGGTCGCGCCTGTGTTTTCTCTCCGTGTATCTGTTTTTTTCCCCCGTCCCCGTCCCTGCTTTTCCCTTGGGGGAAAAAGAATTAATAATCTTTGGTTATTAATTATCTTAAAAATAATTTGACCCTTTTATTGAAATAATTAGGGAAGTCTACAGTCATGCCACCTGTCCTTGCCTAATCTTGGAAATAATTGGGGACAATGGAAACCACATTCCCAGGGTGGGCGTGCCCCCAGAGGACCTGGAGGTCAGAGAGGATCATGGCTTTTCTCTGTGTTCTGGGCTGGAGCATTTATATGTTTGAAAAAAAAAAGCCAGCCGGGCTCGGTGGCTCAGCTTGTAATCCCACGCGTTTGGGAGGCTGAGGTGAGTGGATTGCCTGAGCCCGTGGGTTCGAGACCCGCCTGGGCAACAGCCGGGCTTGGTAGCGCATGCCTGTAGTTCTGGCTACTTGGAAGGCTGAGGTGGAAGGATCGCCGGAGCCCAGCAGGTCGAGGCTGCGGTGGCCGGGAGCGGCCACTGCACTCCAGTCTGGACGACAGAGTGAGACTCCAACTCAAAAAAAAAAATGTGTTAGCATCCTCCTAACAAAACCCCTCGACTCCTGGAGGTGGTGCCTCTTGTGCCCCGCCCAGCCCTGGGGTCGGAGGGGAAAGTTTCTGGGCATGGGGTGGGCCGCAGGCCCAGTGCGAGCAGCAGGCCCTTCTCTGGGAAACTCTTCACAAAGGTAAACAGACGTGTATACGCACACTCTCTCTTTCTCTCTTTCTTGCGTGCACGCACGTGCGTGCACACACACACACACACACACACACACACACACACACACACAACTCTGCGTTAAAGTTCCTGTCTCTTATTTCTACTAGGGTCAGGGTGCCCTCCTGACTTTTGCAGTCGAGCAGGTGGGTAGGTGGATGCTTCCTGGGCTGCTGTAGCAAGCACCACACACCAGCATCTTCTACCACAGGCACTTGGAGCCCGGAAGCCCAAGACCAAGGTGTCTCGGGGCTGGTTCCTCCAGGAGGCATCTTCTCCCTGCCTGCTCCTGGGATTGTCCCTCTCTGTGTGTCTGTCCTCATCTCTTCTCACAAGGACGCCAGTCCCATGGGATCAGGGCCCCCCATGTGACATCATTTAATTTTAATCACCTCTTTAAAGACAGCCTCATTCTGAGGTCCTGGGGGCTAGGTTTCAGCATACAAATCTTGGGGGACACAATTCAGCCGACTGCCACAGTAGGGTCTGGTGTTCCAAAATCCTTTTCAGGATCGTAGGGGTCCTTAGAAGAAGGATAACGGCAGCGCTGGGCCCAGTGGCTGATGTAGGGGAACCACAGTCGACTTGGAACTATTCTGCCGGTTATCTCCATGCAGAAGATAGAACTGGGGGGTGTCCGTGTACACGTGCACACACATGTGAACATACATGAGTGCACAGATGCACCACAGGGTCGGGCTCATCCTGCACAGATTCGTTTGCTGTCTTGTCACGTGAACTATCATGAGGATTTTCCCTTGTCTTTAACCGTTCCTTAAAGTGAGACTTTTCAAAGCAGATCAAGTCCTGCGTCAGTAGACACGTGGATAGTTCACTGTTTCTCTCATCGCGTAGAGGGAGGTCTGTCTTCACAGAGTGGCGACCACATTGAACATTGAACATTCCTGGGTCCTCGTATCCTCAGCAGCCCCTGAGTCCAGGACTCAGGCTCCAGGGTCACCATTTCTGAAGGGGCCTGCACTGAATCTCCAGGGCCAAAGGGGGTCTCAGTGGCAGGCTGTGGGGTGGAGGGATACCTGGGGGCTCCCCTCCCAAGTTACCTGGCATGGTGCCTGCCCCCAGGACCCCCTGCTCCGTGTCCAGGAGGTGCTGAACAGCACGGAGGTGAACCTGCAGCACCTCACCGCCCTGGTGGACTGCCGCAGCCTGCATCTGGTGAGAGGCGGCGCCCGGAGCAGGGGCGTCGCGGCTTGGGGACGGGCAGGGGGCGGCCACTGGGGGGGGACTTGTCCACAGACGGGCGTCTCCACTCAGCCTCCGGGGGCGGTCCAGGCCATGTGGCTGGGCCAAGGGCCTCACGCCACCTGTGCCGTCCCTCTCCCCGTCTCTGGTCCTGCTGTCTGGCTCCTGCCCGGCCTCAGGACTATGTGCAGGCGCTGACCGGCTTCTGCTACGACGGCGTCGAGGGCCTCATCTACCTGGCCCTCTTCTCTTTCGCCACGGCTCTCATGTTCAGCTCCATTGTCTGCAGTGTCCCGCATACCTGGCAGCAGAAGAGGTGAGGGGCTCGGAGAGGGGCTGGAGCTTGCCCTGGGCCATACAGCCGGCAGGGTGTTTTAGGGGTGTGCCCTTCTGGACCCCCACGTCCCGTTCCCAGAGATGAGGGAGAAATGCCCGCTCACCTCCTTGTACTCTCTAGGCCTCTGTGGCATCCCCATTTCATAGAGGAAAAACCGAGTCCAGAGGAACTTCCAGTCTGGGTTGTGGGTTGCAGGAGTCCGGAGCAGGCAGGCAGGAGCTGGGGTCGCACGTCCCACAGGGTTGGCTCTGTGCCCCGGACCCTGAGGGCTGGTGTCAGATGTCCTCTGTCTGCCCCCTCCCAGGCAGGCAGGTGTCCTCTGACCTTGGGTGCAGGTGTGCGGAGCTGTAGTGGGAAGGCCAGCTGTGCTAGAGGTAGTCCAGGTGGCCATGGCCTCCACCGGGCAACCAGGATAGGAACCAGCCGAGACCCAGGTGGCCGCTCAGGAAAAGAACCAGGGAAGAAAAGGAAGCAAAGCCGGAGGGGGGCAGCCCCACCGGGTCCAGGCCCCAGGGAGGTGGGAGAGAGTGCAGGGCTGGGCCCAGGAGCTGGGAGAGCCCCTCCGGGGGCACACGCTACCCGCCCACCTCACAAGCTGGAGCCACTGTGTCCTCAGATTTGAAGGAGGGGTCCTGGTGGCCCCTGCCTCAGTTTCCCCACGTGGTACTGGGTTGAGTGATGTATGGGGCGACAGGCTGCTTCCCTTGCTGGCATCCCAGGACTCATGTCTCAGACCCTCCACCTCGCCTCTCATTTGACTGTGGCTGCTGCTTGGTGGCCCAGCTAGATGGCGAGATCGTCCCTTCATCTGGATTTCTAGTCTGTTGTTTTCCCTTGGGATGGTGATGGTGGCGGTGGTGGTGGCGGTGGTGGTGGTGGTGGTGGTGGTGATGGCTGTGATGGTGGTGGTGGTGGCGGTGGCGGCGGCGGCGGCGGCGGC